ACTTCGTACAAACGATCTACATTTCGTACCACTTTGGTAAAGTATTCAATAATAAATAATAACCGAAACGTTTTAACTGGTAATGTCCCAGGGAGTGGTGTTTACCGATCGATTTTTGGCTTGGAGACCCGGTTTGAAGTCCTCGCCGGCGGTCGCTTAGGCACACTCATGATACTAGTCCTTTCTGAAATCCTGCACAGGTCATTATCCGCATTGGGCTTGAAGGTGGTGTCTGTGAGAACTTCGACTCATCACTAGGTACCCTGTGGTTTATCATGGTATTGACAATGCAGAAATAAACACATTAAAAAGGTCGAAAAACAATAGTCAGCAACACCAATAAATTTGGTTTATGACCTAAATATGCTAGCATTTGGCAAGCCACTTCGTGCCAGCATTATGCCAGCATGGGGGAATGGACATGCCGGAATTGTGCCAGTATATTGCTATTAAGAGTCGTTGTTAAAATAACTTGATCAATACAAGTATCCGATTAGTCATTTAAGGCTTAACAAGTGCAAAATAAGTAAATACTGGAAATTAATCCCAAGCCCTGCAAATTGGCAAAGTGAATAGGGATTGTAGGACAGAGATTGGGGAACATTGACATGCCAGGTTGTTTAGGTCTTCGCACCAAAAACGCATCAACAGGTTGTACGTTTCTTCCGCAAACACTTCAGTCCAGTAAAACATGCACAGAAAGTGTTTCTTAAGGTCTGCCTATGGTATAGCAAATAGTAAATTTACCTGTCAATAAGATATTATTTAATTTGACAGCTATCCTCTTTCTGACATTTTTATTCGTATTTTTCGTCTCTTATAGTGCAACTGCATTCAAGTTCGGAGATAACTGTAATACGAGTTGAACCATAGCTACCCATTATATGTAAACTGCTTAGCAAACCTTTCTATTTTCATCTTCAGTTGTATGCAATTTCACGGGTACCTCCTATACTCATTCTGTGTTCTGAAAGAGGTGACTGATAACTGGCTTCTAAGGACATCTTTAATTTACTACCGCGTCCATTCTCCAAGATCACTCACTAAAACTGCATTCTGCGGGCATGGCTAGATTTGCGTAAGGTTTACTTCCATAGAAAACCCTCCTCTTAGATGCTATGATATCATCATCGATGGAAAGCTTTAAAGGAAGCCACTATTATGAGGGATATAGCTTCGCCCTTGAGACTCACGCATCAATTGCCATATGTTATGGCCCTCTTCGAAATATTGCAACCCATATGGCTATTCTGTATGCCGAAAATTTGACCGTAGGTTTAGAGGAGTCCCATCGTGTGTTCCACAGCAGGATGGTACAGGAACGGTGATTTGCGATAACTTATGGTGAGGGTCTTTTATGTTACATATACGCACGCTCTCCCCACTCTCCCACATGGACCCGATGTCAGAAGTAAAATCCAGAATAACGGAGGTTGGAGAGAATGCAGTACAAAACACTGTGAGTCGAAACAACCAGATGAAAAAAGGAAAGTTTGGCGAAAATTTGGTCTACTGGGAAAGGGGAAGTCGCTAATTTCATCCATAATTACCGATTTAACAACTATTCGCTTGTGAGCCTTTTGGGACAGTGCACTCCTTCCATCTCCTACCTTCGCCACTTACGTCTACACGCGCCCCCTAACACGCTTGCCCATGCTCAAAAGTATTTCTACACACCCTTCTTTTCTTTACCTCCCATTGTGTGTAATTTCTATAGATTCCTCTCACCCCGGCAGTACACTGTCGGCCGATGATTATCTAGGTGGTCAGCAAGGCTGTGCACTAGTAGTCCTCTTTTACTTCCCTCTTACCACTCCTAGCCTCTGTTACTGCGACTTTAAGGGGTCGCTTAAAGCAGTCTACACGCATAGGTTGTCCTCTCTAGTACTTAGGAACCATCCGGCCTATTTCCTTATGTTTTCTAACAATCGCGATTTTCCCGAGCTTGCGGTATAACCTTACAAACCCTGATGCTGTGCACGACCTTACGAGATTTCCGGGTTTGACGTTAACCCACTTCGCCTCATTTTATCGGCCTGCACCCTTTCCATCCGACAGTTTGCGCGTTCAAGTGCCTTATATGCCTTCAAATACCCCTTCCACGGGTTATATTGCGGCAGATTTTTCGCACTATTTCCCGACCCTTCAGAGATGTAAACCAATCCCTTTCCCCAAACTGCAATCAGGTTCCCGAAGCTACTTATCAGGTTTCGGACCAGAAGCGGCCTCCATTTCATTGTGTCAGCAAGAATTTGGGACTATAATAGCTACGTGGACGGCATTTCCTCCTAAGCCCGCCTGACCGGTCCCTGACAAATCCCCATGTAATCGCGGAATTTCATTGCTCATCGCTTGCCTACATTACCAGACTCAGATTCGGTCTTAAAGTGCCCAACACATGTTGGAGGTGGGACTGTGATTTTTACCAGTTTTTGCCCATCGCCACTTCTTCTTACCCACTGCTCATACTCACCTTCTCTGACGTATGACGTTCATTAGTTTCTCTGACGACGATTCCTACATGTCTTCCCACCTTGAGGCAAACACCTGCCTTTGCGGGCTCCTACTGAACGGACCAACAGTAATCATCCG